GCTCTTCCCACTTAAACAACTTTTGTTTTCCACTGACTTCATTCTCATTCCTTCAATGAAGCCAAAAAACGCATTTATCCTCACACCCGTGCATTTCTGTACTTGCTGCACTAACATCATCATCATCTGTGTGTTTGCATGTGAAGGCCGAGACAGCGTGTCATTTCTTTCCATCTCATAATAATCCGAACTGAATAATAAATAAAAAGCTTTTTGAACATTAAGAATGGAGACATGTAGTAGATGCGAAAAATGCAAATATGAACCTGAAACTAAGCATAATATTTAATCTTTAAAACATTAGTCATCAATATGAGGTGTGTGGCGCAGTGGGTTGTGTGTAGGTGTTCGGATCAGGGGGTCAGGNTGCCTTTTTGGGGTTTTCCGTTTCCTGTAGTGTGTTATAGGTTTCTGTGCATGTAAATGTTCTACACAGGGTAAAATCCCTGTTCCCATCAAGGTGCTTTTATTGGTTAGTGCTTCAACACACTGTAAGCCAGCCAGCTAACCAATCAGAGCAGACTGGGCTCTGGTTTCAGACAGAGGGTGAAAAGAGGACACTACATACTGATATACACCTGAACATCAGCAGGAGAGGACTCTTTAAAGTAGAGACACTACATACTGATATACACCTGAACATCAGCAGGAGAGGACTCTTTAAAGTAGAAACACTACATACTGATATACACCTGAACATCAGCAGGAGAGGACTCTTTAAAGTAGAGACACTACATACTGATATACACCTGAACATCAGCAGGAGAGGACTCTTTAAAGTAGAGACACTACATACTGATATACACCTGAACATCAGCAGGAGAGGACTCTTTAAAGTAGAGACACTACATACTGACATACACCTGAACATTTTAATAATATATCCTCTTTAAAAACTACTCAAACTTGAACTAAATAAGTGTTTACTGAACTAAAGATTTCAATACTTAAAGCTGTATAATTGACTATTTTGGTTGCTGTAATCATAGTATTTGAATAATATTACCTTTTATATTTAATGACAAAGAAGCAGTTGCCTTCTATAGCGATGTTTCTGGCTACAGGATTTATGTAAATGAAATATTCACTTTCTTCAAGGGAACAAAGTAGGTGCGTGAGATCTGCCGTCTCATACCTTCGTCTCATTCATAGGAAAAAATCCCAAGTATTTGATTCTTCATAATGTATGTCTGGTTTATATTGTTGCAGGATCCATAAAGCACTTTTCTGTAGTTCTCAGTTTCTCTAACTCTGACTAATCCCAAATGTTGTGACTGAATGATCACGACTGAATGAAATGCATCTGGTTTAACAAGCAGGACAGAACAAGCCGTTCAATTCATGTTCAAACACCGTCCTTTATTTGATGACCCAGCCATAATGACAAAGCAGACAAAATCTAAAAAAAAGCTTTTAAAGTTTGCTCCTAATCCACCATCTTTTTATATCACAGAGATAAATCATTATACAAACAATGATTCACATTTTCAGGTAGATTTTCATTTTCACCTGATCAACATGTCGAGGAAGCAACAAAGCGTGAGAGCACACTAAAAAGGAAAAATGTAAATAATTAGACAGCGTTTAATACCGAGCTGTGTGCCATCCCATAAATCTAACAGCAGCTGGGATATTACAGAGCGACCGTGTCACGGTGTGGAGGGGAATTTGCTGTCTCAGACTTTACACACCGTCATGACAGATACTGATTTAAAAGTGTGTGTGTGTGTGTGTGTGTGTGTGTGTGTGTGTCCTTGCTCTGAAAGTTGTATACGCAGGTTGTGAGAGCATGATGTGGCGATAACTCAGGCCGGGTGAGAAGCAGTGTGACGTCAAAACTACGTAGATAGAGAGCAGCGATGCTTCATTTAGTGAATTATTTTTCGGAAATGCAACATGGACATGGCATGATTGGTGGAATATCTAAATTAGGTATTGCGGTGCTGCAAACAAGTCCTGGTCTTCAAATGTTATTATTCAGACTTAAAAATCACACAATATCTGACATATTACTTGTTAGATACTTTTATCCAAAGCAACTTACTGTGGGCAATCCCCACATGGAGCAATTTGGGGTGAAGTGTCTCAGGGACACAACGACATGCTGACTGCAGTGGGGTTTGAACCTGTGACCATCCGAACACCTACACACAACCCACTGCGCCACACACCTCATATTGATGACTAATGTTTTAAAGATTAAATATTATGCTNACACACACACACACACACACACACACACACACACACACAGTCAGCACCACCACCGCCTGCAACAGATCTATTCTCAGCTGCTGTTCATGGATGAGAAGGTCCTTCTCATCCATGAACAGCAGCTGAGAATAGATCTGTTGCAGGCGGTGGTGGTGCTGACTGTGTGTGTGTGTGTGTGTGTGTGTGTGTGTGTGTGTGTGTGTGTGTGTGTGTGTGTGTGTGTGTGTGTGTGTGTGTGTGTGTGTGTGTGTGTGTGTGCAGGTATAGAGTCGGAGTGGAGGAAGACTCAGTGCATGCCCAGGGAAGTGTGTGTCGACGTGGGCAGGGAGTTCGGGGCTCCCACCAACATCTTCTATAAACCACCCTGTGTGTCCGTCTACAGATGTGGAGGGTGCTGCCACTCTGAAGACAAACAGTGCAGAAACATCTCCACTGGGTACCTCAGCAAAACTGTAAGCCCACTCTTATGCCTTTACACTTTTACAATGTGCTCTGTGTATATGGGATCCTTAATGGTTGAAGATTGGAACACCCAGAATTTCACAAGAAAAAGACTAATGCATGGCTCATAGATGATGTCACCAGGTTCACACCTGGAGACTCTTGTTTTAGGTTTAAACTCATCCCCTTGTTGAGTAAATAGCATGTTTTTTCTCTCAGTACGGGGCTCTTCCTGATGCTATCACAATCACTGATTCATTGTGTTCTTATAAATCACTTTTTTTTTGGGACTGTGAACCCCTCATTAAATCCTGTCAGTGGAATAGTAGGGAAGCTACCTAGCTAGCACCTCCATCCTTGTAGCATTGAAACCTTCCCCTTAATAATGACAACTTACCAACATCAGCCAGACCTGGGGCATCAGACAAGCTTTGAAGTCTCTATTTGCCTTCTCTGAGTCATGGCATTCTGTCCCGAAGTTGTCCACTTTGCAGACGTATATGATGTGTAGCTGTTAGTTGAAGGTTAGCTTACAGTCCTATACGTGTGGCATTCAGACAAGCTACTGGCTGCCTAGTATTGACGACACAAAGTCAGGCTTGGGGAGTAACGGATTACATGTAACGAGATAACGCAATCAGGATACCAAAAAAAGGTAACTTTATTTGATTACAATTACATAAAAATAAAAAAGTAATCAGATAACTGTTATATTTAAAATGTAAGCGTATAGTTAGACATACTGAATGAGTTTTCTTTATGGTTTACATTAAGGCCACTTTCATTTTTAGGCTTGTAGGCGGAAATATGTCTGAGGCACCTCCAGAAACAAGAAGATACCAGTGGCGAGCCGTGACTTTTATACCTAGGCCCTCTGACCCCCACCCCTTCCCTCGAGTTATTACGTCACAGCGTATACTTCAGCGGAATATCAAAACAACGGCCCGGGGTGCAAAACGCATCAATGAAAGCGTCCCTCTACCACACAAAACAACACCTGTAAATAACCCTATTTGTGTCCTTTGAAATTGAAAAGGATATTGCATTGTGTTTGTTACTTTCGTTGCAGTTGTATGTCTTAAGTGTAATTTGGCATGCTTTTATTTTGAAGGCGACTTAACGCTGTTGACAGGAAGTTGTTGTTGCTATGGAAACAAGAAAAGTTTCACAGAGAACGTGACGTCATAATTACACAAGACGGATCCTTTCTAGCCATAACCCGGGTTGAACTTGTCATAAAGTCAGCGATAATAACACCCTCCCATTTAGAGGGAAGATATGATTGGTCAATTTTACACTGTCATTTGACATTACTCTTTCGTTCAGTTACTATAGCTGGGCCCTCTGTGAATTCATAGCTGGACCGCCTGGACGTCCAACAGCTCCTCTCTTCACAGTAACTCGCAGAGACGAGCTTCTTTTAATTTAACCTTTCACATTCCAACAGAAACTGAATTGGCAGATTCGAAGGATTTATTTCTTTGGAAATGTTATTTTAAATACAATTAAATCAAGTTATTTTAGTAAAACTAATGAAAAATATAACAAAAAAAAAATATTTAAAAAAATATTAAAAAAAATATTAAAAAATATATATATTCTTTAATGTTTTAAATATTATTTTGTAGAATATCTTAGGCCCTCACAGAGGGCCCTGACGGCCCTGACGGCTCGCCACTGGAAGATACAATAGCAAAGAATGGTTGTTGTATCTCATTCCCTTGCTTAACATGTACTTATCCTCTTTAAATCTGGCCTTGTCCACACTCCTAAACGCCTCCTCCTTTCCAGCCCCTCCTTTTCAGCTAGAATCAGAACCTTTTCGGTCTGAGTCTAGCTGTGAACAAGGCGATCAGCAGAGCATTTTAACTG